GTATTCTATATAACATTATATATATTACACCAGTTTAGCTCCGCCCGCTACCGCGCGCATGACACGGAAGCCTTTGATAGGACTGAGAATCGGTGAAGCTTTGGGTCTCACCGCTTAACTATAGCTGCTTCCTTAAATGCATTACTGTCCGTTGCTCATCTTGGCTGTATCTCACTGTTTGATAAGCGCAGTGAAGTGCACAGCTAAAGTGATGTATGTAAACAACCACCATGCATCGAGTATCGAGGTAATTTAGCGGTCGAATAATTTTTGATGATCTCAAATTAGAATGCCCAGTATTCACTATCCTTCTATTTATAAAGCGCTAACTTTGTGTGTCGGTTTGTGTATCTGTATGTGTGTGAGTGTGTGTGTGTGTATGTATGTGTGTCCGTCCGCAAAATGAAGTGAGTGAGAAGGAAGCTCATGGGATAAACAAACCGCTAACAAATCGGGTAGCTTACAGGATTTGAGATATCAATGTTTTGTAGCAGGATAGTTGTGATAACACTCTTAGGGCTATATAAACACCTGCTTAGCACACTTCCGTTCATTCCACATGGTGCTGCAGTGGCAGCTGGAGGGCAGTGGAGAGAGGAAGGGAAGCGAAAAATCTACCGTCATATCATGATTGTGTCCCTTCTACTGTATTGAAACACCATTGTGTTGCATACGCGTCACTTCCAGGAGGTGTTGGTGTCACAGGAGGAAGGGACCATAGCGGAGGATAGAAAGCTTGCGCAGGAAAGGAAGGTCCCGGCGGTTGACGGGGGACTAATCTGGTCGTATTTATTCGAGCATCCCATTCATCCTCAAGAACTCTAGAAGGTGTAGCGGTCGAAAGGTGTTTGAGTTTACAATTATAACGCTAATGAAATGATATTGAAATGAAATGCATTATCTGCAATCTGGTTTCGAGTAATCTCTACGTTCGTACGCATATCGTTATATCAGTCCTCATCTGTCGTTATCACTTTTTGACCCCACAAAATATGTTACCGTCCCACCCCCATATCATGTCCCAAAATCAGCTCCTGACGACTGCTGCGAAGCGCACTATGAATTTCGTGAAATTTGTGTTTCAGCGCCTCTTATCTGCTCTTATCAGTCGTTATCACTTTGTGACCCCACCAAATATGTTCCCGTCCCACCCCCTATACATAATTTAATTAACTTTAATGTATTTTTATTACGTATACATGTCCCAAAATCAGCTCCTGACGACTGCTGCGAAGCGCATTACATATTTCGTGAAATTTGTGTTTCAGCGCCTCTTATCTGCTCTTATCAGTCGTTATCACTTTGTAACCCCCACCAAATATGTTCCCGTCCCACCCCCTATATCATATCAAAAAATCAGCTCCTAACGACTGCTGCGACGCGTGCTATGAATTTCGTGACACACGCACACACACACACACAGACAGACATAGCGTTTTATATATAGTAGGGATATTGTCTTCATCGGAAGAATTTCGCTATATTCACGCAACACAGCTTAACCAAAGCATTAGCATGCTTGGAAAATTGGTCGGTTTTTGATACACATGCACGGAAAGCGATGCAGAGCCTTAATTCATTGCGCTCACTGAGCACAGTCACTCACCTGTAGAGAAGGGCTCGAACGGCTTCAACTTCTGACTGTAGTTCTGCCAGCGTGAAGTGTACGGTCTGTAAATTGATGCATTACAAGTATATGGTTGGCCTCCAAAACAGCGTAACAGCGTAACAGCGTCAATGAAGTGAAAACGAAGAACTATTGCCAAAGAGCTTCATAATTTTTCTGTAACATTTTTCAAATACCGTGATGGGATGAATGGCGCCGCTCCTAATCAAATGCCTAACCGAATCCCAACTACATTAACTGAGTTTCTCATTCCTCGCAAAATAATTTGTATCAGATTCTTTTGCGAGGAATGAGAAACTCAGCTATGTAGTGGAGTGGTTAGGCATTGATTGGGATTTGCGAGAAAAACCTCTGACATCCTTTGGTTGATACGGGCAATCCTTTGTTTCAATAAAAACCTTCATGTTCACCGCTGAGTAATTCGCTAATGCTAAATTTGAGTAACCTGCTGATCAAGGACGGTGCTGCCGAAAAGCTTCCGCTCTGATGCATACTTTGCGGTGAGAGCAATACACCGTTGAAGAGGCTCCAGCACTGGAAAAATATTTTCTTTTTGAAACGCGAAAGTTCAAGTAGAATCAAAGCGCTTACAAACAGCAGCCGCTACCAGTCGTTCATCTTGGAATTGTAACATCTGATAGAAGAATCCACGACCCTCTTCGCCAATGATACAGCTAGCCGGTACCTACCTAATAAATAAAAAAGCGAATTCAAGCAAATTCAAGTATTGACATATGTTTTGTAGCTATCAAGTGCTGGAGGAACCAGTACCTATTCTAGCAAGTGAACAAAAAGATGTAAAATGCTTGTTGATTCGGAGGAGCTCTCTTCACTCTCAACTATATGGGTTCGTACACATTAGCACTCGAATGTCTTCAGCGACACACTCAGTCACTCCTTTTTTGCTGCAGGACCAAATTATGCGCTTAGCTACAGGACTTACTGGCCCTTTCCCGGAAAATGTCAAAGTTGTCGGAAACACAGGTTTAGGCGTACCGCAGTAACCAACAGAGCCTCGCCTCTCACGGATTCCGCATTTTAGATCGAAGATGTCTCTTCGACGATAATCTTAAAAGTCCCTGATTAATCGTCCAATCATCGTGCGGGAGGTGGGTTAAGCACCTCCATCAACTTGCCTTTCATAGACGTGACGATAAACGCACCGCCGTGCGTCATTTCTTGATCTTTCTTTTGAAGGATGTATCGGGAGTACCTCAGTGTAGAGTCAAATATAAATAAACAAGCGGCTGCAAAGTGTTCGCCCGAAGGCTCTATGTGTATTATAAATGTGAATAAACAATATGAGTTTTCAAATAATTATTGCAAAAGAAAGATAAGGAATCTTTTGCTATATAATTATTTGAAGTCTCACATTGTTTATTACACATTTAAACGACAAACAAGTAGAATATTAGGAACTTTCGCGTTGCGGTCCCGAGCCTATGAATTTTTGAACTTTCACGTTTCGTTCCTATACTACAATACCGCTCACAGAATGTGAAAAAATGACGGTGATTGACCGTCGCACCTATCAAAGACCGTCGCACTACCATAACTCCGCTGAAAGCGAATGAAACGGAAAAATTTAAACTCCTATAGATACGTCTCCTCACAACGAGTTCCAGGATGTGTTATGGGTCGGGATCGGTTAAGTAGGTCACCAGCTTTACCTTTTAAGCTGGGGCAAAATCCAATTCTGACCTCAAGGTAGAACACCATTCGTTAGATCCCATGTTTATGTGCACAGTAGTCTACCGCTCGCACACTCCTCCTTTTTTGATGCATTTTTATCCATGTTTCACAGTCGTTCCCGATGCGAACGAGCCCTTCAATTTTACGACATTTCCAAATTTTGAAAGCGTATTTCATCAAAGTCTGGAGGAAATACGACGAAACGGCTACAAGATCTTGAACTAGGTATGTAACTGCGCAACAACTTTGTTGTTTATTGGAATGCAGCAAAGCGGTTCTTACATAATTTAGCTCTGAATATCGGTATACGTCAAATTCTTCGAGCACAATCACTTTTCTTTTCTTTCCGAAATTGCGCTTAAGCGAAATGTATGACCAACGAATCGAATGGTTATTCCAAGAATATGACATATTGTGCCGTATAATGGCAATAATGGCTTATGAACAAACGTTAAGGTAAACTAGATAAGAGACAATACCTCACCCTTTGAAAAAAATTTTACGGACAGAGAATACAGAACTAGTGTGTTGAAATTCATACAGTTGTACTCGGCGCGATGAATGCTATCCGATGATATATAAGTTATTACCCAAAGACTACTTTGTTTTACTCGTTTTTTTCCTTCGTGATCGCTAGCCAATGACCAATCGCTAGCTGACCTCGTAATTACCCTACGCTGCGAGGGTCAATGCCTCGCGGTGTTATCACTCCTCTTCGAGGCATGTTCGGCTTCCGAATACCGCTAAGCGTCGTTTTCTGAAGCCCCTTCAGATTCCCGTAGTTGGAAGGAGTGAGAAGCGATCCACTCTAGCTTAGGCCGTGGAACGCCAGCGAATCCTCCTGTGGCACAGCAATGCAACGTCACTGGAATGGCGCTTTGGGTTTTCAAAATTATGACACGATTGCTCCATCCTACGAGGTTACCTACTGTACTCATTATCTTTTGAGTTACTATAGCGCAAGGCACCAACTTATAGACGTCCCTTGCAAACCCGCAGGTACTGTAAATGTCGTGAATTCTGCTGTTTTATGAAATTCATAAGTTTGCGATCTCAGTATCACTGATTCACTTTTATCTGTGCACCAAGGTGTATTTTATGTGCCTAAAACTAATTTGCCTAAAACTGTATCTCTCTGCATAATTAATCGAATCTAATGCGGTCTGCACAAGCAAGTCTTGCCCTCGGATACGCCATGCACGCGCCTGTGGCTGGCAGTCCTCGAAATTGCGACCCCCTTCCGACCAAAATGCGACCTCTTCGTTCGAACAGTTCGAACGGACGGTTGACCCTGGTTGAGATATAGAACCATGCTAACTAGGCTTGAAATATTTATCCGCTGAACGACGTGGACCTACCACTGACCCTTTTCATGGACTAGACTAGGCAACAGTTCCCATTCGTAACATTTTCCAATGACCAGCAAAAAAAAAGAATTTGGAAAAGATTGATAAGTAAAAAAGAGATGATCAAACCCAAATTCTTCATTCTTTATATTTTATCGTGTACATATCAAGTTGACAAAATGAGATAAATTGAGGGAACTGATACAACGACTGGCCAACGGGGAACCCCATGAAATCAAGGTACTAGCAAAAAAGAGGAAATCAAAAAAAATAATACGACACCAATCCTTATAAGAACGAATGCAAATAAGTGAGGTGTGAAATGGGCTCCCAGTCGTGCCCCAATCCGGCATAATTTTGAAAACCCAAAGCGCCATTCCAGTGACGTTGCATTGCTGTGCCACAGGAGGATTCGCTGGCGTTCCACGGCCTAAGCTAGAGTGGATCGCTTCTCACTCCTTCCAACTACGGGAATCTGAAGGGGCTTCAGAAAAACGACGCTTAGCGGTATTCGGAAGCCGAACATGCCTCGAAGAGGAGTGATAACACCGCGAGGCATTGACCCTCGCAGCGTAGGGTAATTACGAGGTCAGCTAGCGATTGGTCATTGGCTAGCGATCACGAAGGAAAAAAACGAGTAAAAACAAAGTAGTCTTTGGGTAATAACTTATATATCATCGGATAGCATTCATCGCGCCGAGTACAACTGTATGAATTTCAACACTAGTTCTGTATTCTCTGTCCGTAAATTTTTTTCAAAGGGTGAGGTATTGTCTCTTATCTAGTTTACCTTAACGTTTGTTCATAAGCCATTATTGCCAATTATACGGCACAATATGTCATATTCTTGGAATAACCATTCGATTCGTTGGTCATACATTTCGCTTAAGCGCAATTTCGGAAAGAAAAGAAAAGTGATTGTGCTCGAAGAATTTGACGTATACCGATATTCAGAGCTAAATTATGTAAGAACCGCTTTGCTGCATTCCAATAAACAACAAAGTTGTTGCGCAGTTACATACCTAGTTCAAGATCTTGTAGCCGTTTCGTCGTATTTCCTCCAGACTTTGATGAAATACGCTTTCAAAATTTGGAAATGTCGTAAAATTGAAGAGCTCGTTCGCATCGGGAACGACTGTGAAACATGGATAAAAATGCATCAAAAAAGGAGGAGTGTGCGAGCGGTAGACTACTGTGCACATAACATGGGATCTAAACGAATGGTGTTCTACCTTGAGGTCAGAATTGGATTTTGCCCCAGCTTAAAAGGTAAAGCTGGTGACCTACTTAACCGATCCCGACCCATAAACACATCCTGGAACTCGTTGTGAGGAGACGTATCTATAGGAGTTTAAATTTTTCCGTTTCATTCGCTTTCAGCGGAGTTATGGTAGTGCGACGGTCTTTGATAGGTGCGACGGTCAATCACCGTCATTTTTTCACATTCTGTGAGCGGTATTGTACAACCGTACTTACCCAGACGTTGTCGAAGAAGATTTCAGCCGTGTCGGAACTGTGCATTCCGAGTTTCTTCAGATTCGCTGATCGGTGCACTCCTGAATATTTAGAGATCTGAAATCTGTCAAATTCTGGAAGTGCTCTTCCTACAGGAAGGATACTGCGAGAGAACTTGCAGCCTGTCCTTCCCTACAGAAACGTACCACACCGTCGCACAAAATGCGCGGTTAGGGCGCTAATCGTTAAGGTGCTGCAACCATCGGCCCTTATTGCAACGCTTCCCACCCACCCGCCATTGATGTGGAGATCAGCGCGCTCTCGAACGGCGTGCTCTCTCGCGTGTTCTGTCTTCTCTGATCGTTTTGTCTCGCCCTCGTACTACATCCGATCTTACTGAAGGTCAAGGCTTGATTTCACGTTTCCTGTGAACTCTCTTGTTTTTCTTTCTCCCTTTTAGTCCATTCGCACTTCATCCATCAATATTGTGCGCTCTTATACATCAGTTTTATTCCGGGCTTGCCTTTAAGTAGTTCTTCTCCTCACTTCAATATTATTTCATCTCTTCTTTATTTATTTCCTTCCACAAGACTTACCAAATTTTAGTACTACACAGATATGGTTCTCAATTTACACGTCCCCCTTTCGCTTGAAAAGCCTTGTAACCGCCTTCGCCAGCTGTGTGTTGACTGGACTTTGGCGTTGACCGTGGAGCAGCTTATTACTATTGAAATTTGAACAAATATTCAAATGATTATAACTTTCTTCAAATATGACGAATTTTCAATCTGAAAGCAGATTTGGGAGTTTTGTGAAGAGCTCTTTCTAATCAGTATTGAAATTACAAAAAGTTATAAGAAATAACAAATTTAGATCAATTAACGAGGAAAATTCGAGATGAGCACGAGTTTTTACACGAAGCATAACTTGCTTCATTTTCGTCAAATTCGAAAAGTTAATATGGCAGACAAAACTAGAAGATTTTCTCTATCAAACCGTTGCTGAAGCAGCTTTATACGTCCAGTATTTTAAAAATGGCCACGTCGAGGACACGCGCTGAGCAAATGCCTGCTAGGTGTAATTGTGGCCGACACACTTTGCGCGCGATGAAAAACGAACCCTAGCCATGCACGTCTGAAAACATAATACCTGGTTCATTCAGCCTCACACAAACGAGGCTTTTGTTCTGATGAGGTGACGGATTGTTGTTCGTGTTGACGAGAACACAAGCCCAATCGGCCTGAGAAGTACCTGGGTAAAGCTACAAAATTTTCGAACATAATGAGAAGCAAGACACACCTGTTCTCCACTTGTTATCCACATTTTGTGCCCATTGATGATCAGATCGGAACCACTTCGAACAGCCCTGGTTCGAATCGCTGGAGGAATGAATTTTCCAGGGAAGCAAAATCTTCAACGTTGACAGTACCTGCCACATCGCTTCCTGCTTCTGGCTCGCTGACGGC